AGGTTTGACGTCAGGAAAACAACGTAGTAAACATAGTTAATAAGGTAATATAAACTCTACATAAATATATATACATATATAAAGAAAACTTCAGGTCCTGCTCGCATCGGTCGATCATCGGGTGCGCAACCAGATAGTATAGAGATTGCGTTCCAGGCGATCGACCTCTAGTACAATTAGCACATCATCATATCTGCCTTTAACTATTCACTGCTGAACATAAGCCTCAGTAATTGTCATGCTTGGCAAGCGAATTGGCAACTGCAGTCAGGCTTTAGAGATGTTTTAAGAGGGACGCTGCTGCTCATTCCTCGCCCTCCTTAGTCCACTCTTACGATACTCACGGAATAGGAAGGGGTGGTTCATTCTATACCGGGACCACACGGCTACAGTTGGCACGTGTACTACCGACCTCGCACCTATGACTGAAGATTCGCACCTAGAACAGAAAACAAAAGCAAAATAAAATTAATAATAAATCTAAAGTACATATATAAAATTGAATTAATTTAGATAGTACCAGTATTACACAACAACAACACAACAAATCTTTAAATCAAACCTTGTTATAGTAAAGTATTACGACACACCTTCAACGGCGATCGGATCGGACCACCTAGCTTGACGCAAGAAGGCGCTACCGAGAAAGACACCTGCGTCGAGTCAGCACTTCAATTCCCACAGCAAAAAACACCCATTTCCTGTGTATTTGATTCGATATGACAACACTTACAGATCACACATCGATCTGAAGGCACCTATTATTGTAACAATTAATTTTATGATTAAATTTAGTTATTTTATAAAATTGGTTTTTTTTTGGGTCTTCCGCCAGCGACTTCAATAACTACCTTGTCAACAAATAGTGGGTATCGTTTTATTACCTTATTATATAACTTTAACGTTTCATATAAAATAGCATTACAGTGCTTAAGACATTACTTCAGAACTATTTTATTAAAATATTAGGAATTTTATTGAAAAAGGCATCTAACAAGTATTTTTAGTAATTCCACAAGTGAAACTGAACTTTTTCACCAAAATGTTACTTTAGATTAAAACACTAACAAAATTAAACAAAACGTTTATCTGTTAAGTTTTTATTTTGTCGCTTTTCTTTAATATTTAAAACAAAAAACCTTCATTGATATAAAATATATAGGATTAAAGAAATTCCCTGGAATAAAAGATTATAATTTCGATTTCACTCTATTATTGAAAGATAATCTATAATAAATACATTGAAAATTTATATATATTATAAAGAGGAAAGATTTGATTGTTTGTTTATTTCTTTGTTTGTAAAACTACTATTAAAGAAATAAACAAGTTAATAACAACACTCAAAAACAGCTCAGTTTTAAATATTCTGTCACCTATAGAAAACTATATTATCAAGGAGTGAGGTAGACTATATATGAAAATTATTTTTAAAATTCTATCTACCTTGCGAAATCGGGCCGGATTACTAGTCTTTTATATATTTACTACTTAGGTATTATCATCAGTCAGTTTTGTTGATTAAACACTCTCTCATGTATGATAATTATTCCACTTCATAAATTAAATTTAAAAAAGTTGTGTCTCCTAAAACTGACAAGATACTAGAAAAGAAACATAGCTGGTGCACTCATGTCATTAAGCTGGGGGTAGGCCATAATAATATACTTACATGGAAACTTCCGGAGTGCAAAAAAAAAAAGAAAAAGCCACCCTTAAGGACACGTGGCTGTACATTGTCCATAAATATAAATACGTGTTGGCATGTGGCAGTGCCGATAAAATAACCCAGCCCCTTCTACAGAAGAAGTAAATAAATTTACTCGTATATTCCTATATATATTCATACCTATATGTAGTCATATATATATGGCCACATCTATATGACGACTTTTACGGCAGAGCGGTAGGCACATTGCTTTGTGTAATGGATTCGATTTTCGGTTGGACATATTTAGATGTATTCCGTATGAATTATGTACAATAAAGATAATTTACAATACAATACAATACAATAGGAGGCGAACTTTTCTAAATTGACTCTAGTTTAGATTGTCGTTCCCGCTCCCAGATGTTTGTTATCTAATGCCTCCTAATCTATCATTATTATTCATCGTATCCTAGCTTAAGCACTAGGCGGTTATCGTGACTGTGTCGTTCTTACTAGTTAATTTTAAACTTTCACGTTGGTTACACATATTTTATGGTAGCCACGACGCGTCGTGGTGCAATCCACGTCGAAATGTCGGCAATAAAGAAGCAGCTATGTAGATTGACATGCAAAATTTTTGATGACGTTAAGTACTAATAGTGTATTTGAAACAGTTCTTATTACTTATTGTTTATTTATACAGCTATATAATTATCTTTATATCGAAGGGTGGGTTAGAAAGACGTTACAATAATAAAGTTTAATTTTTATTTCATTAAAGATTTTCGTAGTATTTTATATTTATTTAACTACCTTGAATTGAAACTAAAAGGTTAAATCTAGCCATTATCAATATCAGTATCATAATCAACTCTCCGGAAATGAAAAACATAACATGGTATATACAAATATAGTACAGACAGCAGTAGGCTCGTTACCTACTACATTGGATCGAAATAGGCATGCACAGAGAATGCAGGCACATCAAATTTTACAGTATTTTCACTACAAACAATATTTATTTACATAAAGGTATAATATACTCACGACCGTATTTAGCTAATTACAAAGCAATATAAAAAACAGTTAACATTAACTTATATTAAATTATTTCGATAAATTATGAAGAAGGAAAATCTTATACCCATTAGTTTGTAAGTTTGCGTTATTACTTACAATATGTACATCCCATATGGAAGTTACTTGCAGCCGTTGCAACAATTTTATGTATTTTATATGCAAACAAGTATGGAACGAAGTTTTTATATGAGGAAACATCATCTGTTTCATATTTTTGTTGAACACCTGTAACTATTATTAAAATTGTTTAAATTTTTTTTTGCATATGCATGTATTTGTTTTTCGGATTGGAAAATAACATTATTATCGAATCGAATCTCTACCATCCTCGACACACTTATGGGCTGTGAATATATGTGTTGTGACAAGATTTTATATAGGTATAAAATTATAGGAAGTTTGAAAACTAAGGGGACGTAATATTATAAGGTTACATAATATAAACACATTATTGTTGTCATCAGACAAATGTGGGGATAATGATTAAAATAAATTGATAAAGGTAGAGAGACATAATTCCATAGTATGTATGGTATGGCAACAAATGAAGGATACCATGCGCCTACCATGTTTATTGGCAAAGTTCAATTTTCCAGCAGATGGCCGTCATCTGTTTGCTATTTTAGGTCGCATAAAAACACCAATTGCAATATTGGGCCTGATAATTTAATAGTCAATTAAAAGAGTTGTCACAATTCGAGATTTACGTCTGCATTTTTGTTAAAGTTCCACTGAAGTTAAATCTGTTTCCCCAGTTTGTTTTATTTCTTCCTTAGCTAACTCTCAAGCTCTATAGTTTGCTGCATGAGTGATTTATTACCATTCCTACTTCGAAATAAGTAAACAAAAGAACAAATAAAATGATAAACAAATAATAAATACATCAATTTTGTTTTTGTGAGTAAAAGCTGGTGTAAATAAAAATCTGACAAAATAATTAGGTTCATTTAAACATCGAACGCATACTGTTCATAAATTATATTATATACATTTAAAATATAATACTTTCTTACTACCTAATGTTATAATAGAAATAATGAAAGGTTTACAGAATTGGGGAACATTTTTTTAAATGTTTTCCAGTTCTGTAAACCGAAACGATTTTTCGTTCAAATTTCAATCGTTAAATGAAAAAAAAAATGTTGCAATTATCTGTCCATTTTCAAGAACAATTTAACAATTTTCAATATCTTTAATCGATTATTTACATATTTCTCCACTAGTGAACTAAAACGTTGTTCATGCAATAGTAACTTAATAATAATTGTCCCTGAAAATTTCTATTATTAGATGAAAAATGTATTTGAATAATTCCAAAACAATATACGAAAGAGATGCGAAGTTTTTAGTTAACTGTATACAGTTAGTCATATCTTAGGAATATTAATTATAGTGACTAGTGATAGTTAAGAATAGTACCTGCGGTCCTAAGTAAATATTATCATACTACTAAACAAAAATTATAACGCAAACGTTATAAGTTGTTCGACTATGAGATATAACATTATGTGTATGTATTCTATTAATTCATTAGAAATTCAATGATTAAATACTATAGACTATACTCAAGTTACATCCGCTACTAATCTTGGTTGAACGAAAGCCACGTCGTTTACTCATTACCAGATCTCTATCACTTCATTATTAAAGCTTAATAGAATTTCCAAAGCTTATTGAATTGCAATGCTAATGAACTTACTCCTTGTCATTTACTTTCTTTATTATTAAAAAAAGTATTAAATTAAGCTGATGAACATTTTAAGAGACTATGTAAAACACTCGTATTAAATTTCAACCGATTTCAAAAAGAATAAGATCTTATTTTTTCCGGTTGTATTTTTTTTATGTTTGTTACCTCACAACTCCGTTAATTGTAAACCGATTGGGATAATTCTTTTTTATCTGAATAAATATGCTTACAGATTAGCTCTATAAATATTTTATTAAAATCGGTTCAATAGTTTAGTTTTTAAATCGAAATAACTAATTTCGCCACAATTAAAGTCGATTTTTTTTTTGTAGAATACAATCTTATTATTATATAAAAGTAATTTACACTAATATTTAACAAGATAATGTCCATAAAAATTAACATAGTCGTCATTCTGCCTAACTTCGAATAGTTTAATTAAATGGAGTTCTATTCAAATCCACCGCGAATCAAATAAGCGGTTTAGTGGTATCTTACGCTTAAACACAATTGGCTTAAATTAACCCGAGTAAGGATAAAGACTAAATTACTTCCACTAAGATTTTCTTATTGTTCCAGGGCTTTCCTGAGAATTTTGTGCGTGTGCTGCCCAAGAAAGCTACGCCGAAAATATCAACCACAGTTACGCTTCAAACAATCGCAGGTAAGAAACACCAGTTTTTAATTAAAACAAATTGTTTACAACAATCTTTTGATTTAAAAAATTCTGTTTGCTTTTTAGATTGTCATGAATTTGTTTTACTTTCAGTTCCGCTCGACTCGACGCTATTACTCGTCTAGCGAATTGATGGGCATACAGCAAGTCAGACAAAACTCCTGCGAACAGACTTATATATAGCGATTTAGCCTCGTTTATATAAGTCGCTTCGGCTTTTTCTCCGACTTTCCAAGTGCCTTGTCACATTCAATTTATGTCATCCAAGAATTGAATACTTCGCTTAGATTGAGGGATGGTCTTCTAAAGGATTTTTAGTATCTTAGGCGATACTTCACTGAGTCCTCTTATTAACAAAATATGAAATTGAGGTATGTGTGGGTTTGAGTCACATCACATGTCCAATTTTTCACAGTGTGACCCTTTCCTTGATCTATAATTTTCACGTCATCTGTACCTCAATATTTTCTGAATGTGCCTTTGATGTTTTGTCTTCAACCGTATTGTCGTATTGTCAGTATGGACATATATTATTGTTATTACCCACATTTATGTTTTGTTTTACAAGAACCAGTTTTAGGCAAGACCCTATTTCATATTGTGCATGTACTTTCCATGTCTAAAAATTCTCCGATTTCTATAATTGTTGTTATACTACCTACCTGCTGGTGTGTAATGCATATATACTTACATGTACTTAATATACACATTTATTATAAGAAAATAAATGTTACTCTCTTGATCCAAAATATATGTAATTAATTTTATTCACAATATGCATGTATTTGTTTGAATTATTAAATCTTAAAAGCATTACCACATGTTATTTGTCTAAATCTACTCGTTGTTTGCTAATATCTATTCATGTCTTGCAAGACGAACGCGATCCGTTATGTAATCAACATTAATTCACATTATAAGCTGTATAGTAATTATTGCTAACGAGAGAATATATCAACACATTTGGCTATTGATCGCCAATAGATTCGTGTTATCTATATTAAGGTTGCTTTTCAATTTACACAGGATTTAACAAGCAAGAGTATAACAATCGAAAATCACGCGATGGTACCTACTTATAAAACAGAACACTTGCATCATAAAGTAGAAGTACGGAGACCAAAATATATATTTTATTTAAAATTTAAAATTGGGTTTTCATATTCGACCAGTACGAAAAGTTATTCCCTTTCATGAGTATCTATCGGAATTTGATTGATATATTTTGTTTTCCATTGACAAAATTATCTGTTTTGAATAAGTACGTAGTCGTATACCTTTGATTGCAAACTATTTTAAATTTACTCTAATGAGATTTTACGTTTTATGTTATACATTGCCGTTATATATTTTTATTTTTACCTTTGCACACTGTATTTTCCAATCATATACTAAAATTGGATAAAATACTCCATTGCAATATAGTTATCCCCTTACACAAACACTGTATTTATGTAACCCTAAAATTTCCTGTAGGTATGCGTCGCACAGCAGTTATTATTGACGAGTTAACATATCATTTTGATGTGTAATGAGTAAATTTATTTCACAGTACCCCGTGTCGACGATGATGTATTCATCGGTGTCACAGCACGAGATGTGTCGATTGTGACATCAGGCGCGCGCGGGCACGTGCCGCGGCCCGCGCGCTAGATGCTCCTGATGCCGCGAACGCCGCTCGCTGCGGGCCAACCGCCGCGGCGGCGACAACTACCGCCTCAGAAACATCGAGCACACATCCTTCGAAGAACCCATACAGTGCGTCGACAGACATTTGTGCCCTGAAAACGTTCCCTACTGTCAGGACTCGGAATCCGTGAGCGAGATAAGTTTAGAGAGCGACTCTCGAAACCCCTCTATCAAGAGGAACTTGAGCAAAAAAAAAGTGACCTACCAAACAAAAGCTGAAGTGATCTCGAATTAGTGTCGTCTTAGTTTCTTAGTAAAGTTTCTTGAGAAATATTGAATTCAATCAGGAGCTGTGATTTACTGATTAGCTTTGTACATACATATAGTTTAACGTTCAGCAATCAGGAATCTAAGATGTTTAATGTATTACGTTGTATAATATGGTAATACTTTAACGTATAAGTTACCCAATAGACATGCCAGGATAATAATTATTTTGTTTCTTGTATTCCTGATTGTTTTACATATTTGTTCTAGCATTTGATGCTTCTTGTGTAATACTTTAATAGAGAGGGAAGTAATGCGCTTCATAATTATGTAAATATTGTAAATACTCATTTGACATTATAAATACTCATACTCAAATTTGTATGTGACGACGATTGGTCATAACAGAGTCTGACAGTATCGAAAATACTTACTGTTTAATTTTTTTCTGCGCTAAACAATAAAAACTATGTTAATTTCAAACTGTGGAATAGGCTCCCTACCAAGGATTTCCCTAAAGATTACAGTTGAAAAATGAAATTACAAGGTACAGAGGTAAATCATGAAGGGTATCTTGGGCGACACACTTTACTCTGTTATGTCTATGGTGCTGCTCATGTCTATATGGGACGGTTACCACTTCCCATCAGATGGACCGTCAGCTTGTTTTCCATTCTAAGTTGCATAAAAATTATGGAGTTCTGCGAAAAGGAATGAGATTGGTGGGTTGAGATTTCTTTATGGGTAGGCAATGTGCACGTAACATTTCTGGTATTGCAGGCGTCTATAGGCTACAGTAACCGTTTACCTTCAGACGGGCTGTATGCTTGTTTATCACCTTGATAGTTAAAAAAAATTACACAAATTATTATTTTCATTCATAATAATAATCACACCGACTATATTAAATCCATATTGTTAAATATTTATTATACATAAGTATACATAAATGGTTTAATTTGAATTGGCATCACGAATGGAGCTCATATAATCAACGTAAATTAATTTGGGGCATGAACTAAATCGAGTGTGTTATAACCAAAACAGTTTAGCTTCAGTGTGTAGTAATTTAGATATTAGAGATAAGCTATAATATACTAAAGTCTCAGGTTATCTCAACAGCTAATAACAGCTTGCTATTTTTGTTTCTTCAGCAAATCTTCCAAGGGATATGATGTTTGTTTTTCCGTTTCACTTGATATATGAACGACGCAAAGATTTATTCTTGCCTTCTATTTTAGGCTTTATTGAGACGAGGGTATTTTATATAAGACTTGATTAGCAGACGTTCATTTACTGACGCAACAAAAGTTCCAAAGAAATTCATACATTTTAGTAAGAAATATATATATATATATTTTTTTTTTCTAATACCAGCAACTAATGATATTTCATTAAATCGTATGTTTAGTACAATTTTCTCACTATTGTATTAATGACATCAAATTTCATGTAAAATATTTGATAAATTGTTCCCAAAAACACAAACAAATAAAATCATTTCTGGATATAACAAAATCATAAATATATTTTTACTAAATTCTGTAGGTGTTCAGAGGATGCGAAGAGTTAAAAGATCACTGACATAATAATGCTAATTTTATGAAATGGTTTATTCATATATTCATTTAATCACAGGAATTATTAAAACATTCAAGTTAGGTATCGTAATTTGAGTTTTTTTAATATGCATTCTTCTTATCTATATTTAATTTTAACACCAGATTATGGCAACATTATATACATTTTAACACAAAGATACTGTTAGACTTCATTTTGCCAATAATTTAAAGGCAAACAAATATATTACCAAAATGGTAATAATTTTATATAAGATTCGGAATGAATGTATGAAATTATAAAAAACATATTCCTTTTTGAAAAGATATCGTAATTTATAGTTTTAATGATCTGTCAAAATGTGAGAATAACTACACCTATTTATTTCATGTGTATGTTTCATTAAATATTACACAGAACTCTAAAATTATGTATTTATATTACTTTTAAAACTCATGTTTAATTTTTTATAAACGTTAATATACATGTATAACAGGAATTCTATGAACTTACTGTGTTTGTTGTTTCCGACTATTGTCTCGACTTTATATGAAAGTCTTCTTCAAGGGGAGAACGGCGGGCTGCAGCTCGTAAACAACAAACACATAATAATTCCCGTTCATATATATATATATATATATATATATATATATATATATATATATATATATATATATAATAAATAATTCCCGTTACTTATATATATATATATATATATATTTAATTTTTTTATTATTTCCATGTTTTGATTTCATAATATTTTATTTTAATTATTAACGAGCATATTCGTATCAACATTGTGCATATTGATTCGTCAAAAGTTATTATTTTACAATATTGTTCAAATTTCAAACATCAACTGATCAACTGTAACGATAAATATTTTGTCTTATTTATTAAGTAAATATATAAAAGCATTTAATATTAAAACTACCGTATAAAATATTTATAATAATAATAATATTATAGTATCATTACTTCCATCAGTATTATGATTGTATTCCCACTGTTAGAATATAGTTGACATTTTTTATATTTGTTTAAAGCTTCTTCGTCCTATTTCTAAATACAAATAGGACATATGTAACACTTCTATAAATTTTAGTCATTACAAATTATTTATTTATTTTCAAGTAACATAGTAATTATTTAAACAATTGATTTCTTCATACCAATGAACTAGGAAGCTTTACAATGTAAGAATGGCAACATTACTGCTAATTCTAATCACAGTTATTTAATTATATCTATATAGAATCTCATAGTGTTAATATATTCATCGTGGGATTATTTATCAATGACATTTCGTAATTTAAAGTTAATAATTTTAATTGGAAAAATCAAATAGGTACAAAATATTAATTGGATATCAAATTTTAATGGTGAAAAAAATAAAAATACCACTATTAGTACAAAGAAATTAAATAATACCACCACTAGATCATGTAGTCATCACCAATCATTGAGCTTAGGTAATTGTCGATGGACCTGTCAAAATTTCAAAACTATTTCACAAAAAATATTTTTAAAATTTTATATATTAAACTGACGTTGCAAGTCTTACAATATTATACAAATAAGTACTCTTAAATTTATTAATTAACTTCCAAGAATTCCCACTAGATAATTATGATATGATGATATGATGGTATAGCATTATTATGGTTTGATTATAGCCACAATAAATAATTGTACCAACAATAATTGCATTTGATAACAAAAGCCAAAATAACGTGCAACATATATATATATATATATATATATATATATATATATATATATATATATATATATATATATATATATATATATATATATATACATATATAACACGTACTTGAAAAGTATTCTGTACAAATATAGAAAGTACTTTGCTTAATTTTAAGGGTTTACTCTCTTACTCATATTAATTTTATCACAACTGAAATTACAATTTCTTACAGAACAAAAATTTAAATTATATTTGCTCAATAATTTATGTGATTTTAATGTTAGATATACTATCGTAATTGCAAAAACATTGCTATAAGAAAATTATAAATTTTATTTTATAAAAATCGTATTTATATCAAATTTTGTTTTTTGGGAAAATTGAACTAATTACGGATACACTAAATATATTAAATCAATATAATGTTTAAATAGTGTTCTTATATTCATTTTCGAATTCTTATTTATGTTACCCTTTATATTTCATATTTATCTAGATAATATGTCGGTCACAATAACATTAACTGTGTAGAAACTTAAGTATTATTAAAAAACAATATATTAATATTATTTTTCCCTTTTATTTATGCATACATATCAATGTATTATAATCATTATTTTATGTTATTACAATTTTTATATTACGTTTATTAAGTACATGTGTTATTAACATTACCTAATAATGATGTACTACATTCGTGATTCACTGTTCATCTCAAAGGTTTACTGGTAAAAAATGCTACTAGCATTAAATCCGCCTTTTGTATAATATTTTCATTTGGACAATAATGTTATTATATGAAATTTCTACAGAAACGTACATGAGTTAATAATATTTGTTTCAATTAATTGTAAATAATTATTATCCACACTGGTATAAATCGATCTAAATTACATAATTCATTAAAATTCTAAAAACAGAAACTGAAACCGTATTTTTTTTAATAAAATGAGTAAACAATATCTATTTATTTCATATAAACTGTTGTCATGTCATAAATATAATTAATTAGCAGTTTTCGTGGTATTGTAGTTTTTAATTGCATAATGTCTAGTCATGGTGCTTGGTCGTAGTTAAATTAAAAGTTCGAACTGATATTACTACTTTTAAAAATATATATGAATTGTTTAACATACCTATATGTTTTAGTATAATTTATATTTATATAATAATATATATTATTATCTAATTGAAATGTTATTTCTGTATTTCTTCATAATTCTATTTTCCCTCCGATATTGCCTAGTATTTGAATAATAAATTCCAAAGAATGTTACCTAAGAAAAATATATTATAATATTTAAAATTGTTTTGTAGAAAATAATATTAAGTAAGGTATAATAATTACTTAGTTGAATAAAATAACAAAATACAGGTATTTCTTGCTGTTATATTACTTGTTTCTGTGTCATTATATTATACTATCATATATTAAATTATATTATATAGGCGCATCGTTTCCGATTATTACTATCCATCTGCATATTTTGTACATATTCCGATGTATAAAGTCTAATACTCAAAAAAGATTACATCTCAATATACGTATATTAATTAAGGTTTTAGAAAAATGTAAAATAACTTACCTAAATAAACTATTTTTTTTTTATATTTATGTAAATTTTTAAGAATTCGTAAAATCCATTTCTTCTTTTATAATCCAACCATATTATAAATGAAGCCCTAAATCTACGTCCCTCTAACATTACAGATGTGAAAGTTTGTAAAAATAATTAAATGTTTGTTTATAAATGACATTTAAACAACTGAACTGACTTCAATGAAATTTGGTAACCATAGAGTTAATTGGATATTTTAATTAATAGACTAAGTTTTTGGCGTTAGCCAAATTGGAACTCAGTAACTTTGGTGTCGTAAATCAGGTTAGTAACTATCAGACCATGACGCACTTTATTCTATCCTATCGAAAGATTATTACAAATTGACCTAGTTCTAAATAAAATTGTAAATATTGAAGACATCTTGTATTTGTTACACTTTACTGGAGCCTTGTTGTAAATTAATAAAATCAAATTAGAACTGAAATCGAAAAAAACAGTGAATATTTAAAATCTTGGAATTGTTACACTCTACTCAATTAAAATATTCTTGTAAATTAACAGAATCAGAACCCAATTATAAAACAAATTATAAATATTAAAGTTATATTGTTACATTCTTATTATTAAAGCATTCTTGTAAATTAACAGACTTTTAAAGTTGCTGAAGAACAATTTATAACTGTTGATGATATTTTTGTATCTATTACATTGGATTGAAGAATTCTTGTAAATTAATAAAATTATAACACATGTCAAAAATAAATTACATATATTGAAGATATATACCTTTTATTTGTTACATTCTATTAAAGCATTTTTTAAAGAATAGACCTGGAACTCTGGTGAAAAAGAAACTATAACTGTTCACAATGTCTTGTATTTGTTACACTCTATTAATTTATTTTTATATAACAGAATTTTGACCATAAATTAAGATCAAAAAAATTATAGATATTGAATATCTTGTACCCATCTTGTATTTGTTACACTGTCCAGTAAGTCACTTTATATAATACCCGATATCATCATGAATACCAGTGTGCCTGTCTTAAATGTACTATTTTATGTGTATTATAACAATGTATATAATTAATATCCAAAGAAATTGACTTCTATTAAAATGTGTACGTATAATGAATAAAACATAATAAATGTATACTTCTTTGTAATAATAAGTAGATACTTATATTTCAAGATTGTGAATAAATTATGTAAATTTAATTTAAAATGGGTTGTCGTATGAATTTATATAAATATTTTTTCAAAGACTTCGTTTTATTTAGCATAAACAAAATAATAAAAATATAAAAAATCATCAGAATGTAAAACATTTCAGAAAATATTAATCTTTAGGTTAATCTATCCTTAAATTAATACGGATGTAGAGTATCAATTCGATTGTTTGTTTCTATGTTGTGCTATATCTTCATCAACTTAAAATCGATTTTGGTTATCCTTTTTTTCTTTGCTATTGTATAAAAATTGAAATTCGTTTTCATTTTGAAATAATTTTATTTACTTTTATTAACAGATATATTTTATCCGATTTAGTATTTCATTATAAAGATAAAATATCTTTAAATTTGTATTCGATATAGACACAATGTTATTATATTACAAATAATAATACTGCTGTAGGCATAACTATTAATAGTTTATTTTCAACATACGAGAAATACCTATATCCTATAATTTAAAGTAATAAAATTTCGCAGCTGCAGTGGATTTGCGGATATTAACAGTGAAATATTACCTAGATTATATGCTACCAATATAATTCTA